AAAAAAAAAGAGCCAGCTGAGGTGGTTCATGCATCTGGTTTGGATGCCTCCAAATGGAGCTTTTCTAGTCACACCCAACTGCAAGGAGATCCCGTGGTGGACACAGAACCCGCTGGAGAGATTACATATCTCACACCTTGAGATCCATCACAAGGAACTGGAAATATGTAGGAATGCCACCAGAACCACGTATTGGATAAGTGGAAGAAGATGGATGGATAGATGGGTGAGATAATCTACTAATCGGAAGACTGGTGGATTGATCCCTGGCTGATGAAGTGTTCGGCGAAATTAAAAAAAAAAATGCTTGTATTAATGGGGAGTGTTGTATAAAGCTTTGAGTGCTCAAATAGAGTAGAAAAGCGCTATATAAGAACCAGTCCATAACACATTTAAGCGATATTGCACAACACTTTACTCCTTCTGTTATACGCACCAACGGCATACCTGACACAGCCTGCCTGATGTTCTCCTTGCTGGTGTCCCAGTTTTCTGTGCGACAAACACCTGCGTGGTTCTTACCCAAACCGACTACTGCTACACATGGGAAGTCCTGCAGGAGACACACAAACAACATTCATCAGGAGATCTTAGACTGAGGAGACGGGGGGTTTATAAACATAAAGTCACACCTTATTACCTTGTGAAGTCCATAAAATACTCTGCTTTTGCCGTTCTTGAGTGCAGGCCCAGAGCTGGGAAATACAAATGTTTATGAGGCTAATCGCACACAAAGAATGCTCTTCACTCAGTCTGCAGGTAACAGAGACTCACAGTTTGAGCAGCTCAGAGAGCTTTCCGGAGAGAGACTTGTCAAACCCTGCAGCCGCCTCTGTCAGATGAAGAGTGCCCTCATCCTCCTCCTTCTTCTCAAACACTCCCAGCACCAGACCCTGCAGACACACAAACACAGTTCAATATGATAAAAGATGCAGACGGCCACATTCTCACGCATGAACCTGCAGAGCATCTGAACCAACACGGAGCCGAACTGATCTGAAACTGAATGAGTCTCGTGTGATGATGATGATGATG